CCAGCAACCTTGAAGACTAATTCATGGCTTGGCAAATGATAAAAAGACCTTCTAAAGACACAATTACAAGCACCAGCTAGGTGACAATCTGCAGGACTGACACAGTTTTCTCCAGGAAGCTGTTTATCCCCTAAACCACTGTCCAGAATGTGGTACTGTTCTCTCCCTTAGCCAGAAACCATGGGTCCGGAAATGAAGGGGTAGAAATGGAAGTAGCAGTAACCCTAACCCTTATTGACTCACTAGCAAAAAATTTGCTTCCTGTCCCTGCAGCCCTATCCTTTATGGGTCTAGAGGTCTTGATTGCAAAGAAAGGAATGCTCCCACCTAGAGACTAACAGTGATCCTATTGAACTGGAAGAATGCCACCTGGCTACTTTGGGCTCCTCATGCCTCTGGATCAAGAGTTGTCATATTCGTGTGGTTAATCCTGATTACCAAGGGAAAATTGGATTGATATTCCATAATGGAGGTAAAGAAGAGTATGTCTGAAATACAGACGATAACTTTAGAGTGTCCATTAGTACCACCAAGTCTTGTGTGATTAAAGTCAATGGAAAACTACAGCAAGTGGGTTCTGACAATGACTATTTATGAATGGCCAGACCTTTGAGGAATGAAGGTTTGGGGCACTCCAGTAAGCAAAGAACCATGACCAGCTGAGGTGCTTGCTGAGGGTAAAGGGGATACAGAATGGGCGGTAAAAGAAGGTAACTCTAAAACCCAGTTATGATCATGTGACCAGTTGTAGAACTGAGGACTGTAATTGTTGAGTATTTATTTCTTGTTTTACGTGTATGCGTGTGTGTATATAAAATCAAGTATTTTTGTGTTCTTCCTTCCCTTATTCCATTTCTTATAAACTCTGAGGTATAAATGGGGCTAGTGTATTTTCTGTTGTAGACTTGTTAGTTGTATCTTATTAGGCACAAGGATAACTTTATAATTATCTTTATTTAGAGACTATGTGTGATTTAAGATGTGTACCATTGCCAGGTTTGACAAGAGGTTTACTATGATAGTTGTTAGTAAGTCAAATTGATTCAACTGTGATTCTTAATACAGCAGACATTGAACTGATGACTTTTCAATGATGTAATGTGGAGATCGAATATGAGCAGCCATCAGTTGAAAGGGGACCTGCACCCACTATAAAAATGGATGTTCCAACAAGGCACACACTGCTCTTGATTCTGCCTCTCCCTTGTCATAATTCTGACTTGAGTTTCTTGAGACATGAACCAGCAATCCGCCACCTGTCTGTAGAGTTGAGTTCATCAGCTCCTGCAACCATGTGAGTCAGGAGAAGCCTCCTGCCTGATACCTCACCTGGGGTTTAGGACTTGCTAACCTCCAGCTCTGGTAGCGTAGTTACAAATCGGGCTGCTAACTTCAGGGTCAGCAGTTCAAAACTACCAGCTGTCCCACGGGAGAAAGATGAGGCTTTCTGCTTCTGTAAGGATTTACAGCCTTGGAAACCCTGTACAGGGTCACTGTGAGTCAGAATCGACTCCATGGCACATAACAAGAACAACAAAGCCTCCAGATTGTGTGAGCCATTTCCTTGAATTCAATCTCAGTCTCTGTATGTGTTCAGCCTTCACTGGATCTGCTCTTCCAGAGAACCCTGCCTAAGACAATAGGCTGTAAAGATTAGGACATGGGAATCTTTATGGGGTCATTATGCAGGAAAGCTAAAGATGGTGGTGGGTACAATATTGCACTGGAGGAAGATGGGAAGTTTTTTAATGAAGCTTTCCATATTTCAATTGTACTTTGTTTTCTTATAAAAATATGAAGTATACAGGAGGGAAAAGAACATGAAAATGGTTTCTTACAGTACTGCTAATTCCAGGAAGGTGCGTCCCGTGATGCTGCTCTAAGTCTTTTTGAACCACACTCGTTTCATCCCCTTGTTTCCCTGCACACGTTTCAAGGCTTGGAGGAATCTTCCATTTTCTGGTCTGTGCCAATGTCTACTGAGCCCAGAGAATTTCCTGATCTCCCCCATGGCACACAAAGCTGTGTCTGACACTCCCAAGTGTGCTCCTCAGGTGGGACCCTATTTCCTTAGGACAAATTTCCCAAATTGGAATTACTGAGTCACGGAAAACACAAGAATTTTAACTTTCAGCTCTGGATGCCAGACTTTCAATACAAGTCTCACTGGGCTAAAATCAAGGTTCTGGCAACCCTGGTCCCTTCTGGAGGCTGTAGGGCAGTGAGGTACAGGGGATTACTGAATGAGCCCTTCTAGTCACAGGATTGACTTCCATATAAAAATGATTGGGTGGAGTTTTGTAAATAAGATGATTGTGATCCATCAAAGGGATTAACTGATGGCTAACAATACAAATAAGGTGCATGGAACCATTTGGGGGTTGTTGTTCTTAAGTGCCATCGAGTCGGTTCCGACCCATAGCGACCCTGTATAGGGTTTCCAAGGAGCAGCTGGTGAGCTTGAACCACCGACCTTGCAGTTCAATCGGCTTTGCAGTCTGGCGCATTAAACCACAGCGCCACACCAGGACTAGGTGCCATCAATTCAGTTGTGTTTCAGAGAGAACTTGTGTGCCACCGAATGAAACACTGCCCGGTCCTCCTCCATCCTCAGTCTTCCCTGTGCTTGAGCATTGTTGCAGCCATTGTCAGCCCATCACATTAAAGGTCGTCCTCTTTTTCACTGACCCTAACCAGGCATAGCATCTTTCTCCAGGGATTGGTGGTCCCAGTCTTAGTTACCTACTGCTGGTATGACAGAAATACTACAAGTGAGTGGCTTTAACAAACAAATGTTTCCTCTCACAGTTTAGAAGTTCACATTCAGAGTTCCAGCTCCAGGGGCAGGCATGCTTTCTTTGTTGGCTTTGAAGAAAGGTCCTTGTCTCCTTCCACCATCTACAAGCACAGTATTCCTTGGAGATCTCCATGTGTCTGGCCATCAATCTTTTCCGGGATCTCGGAGCCTCACGGGGCAGAGACCCCAGGGCCAAAAGGTTCATTCCACTCCTAAGTTTCCTTTCTTGGTGATAGTAGGTCTGAGCTCTGCTTGCTTGTTTAATCTCTTTTATATCTCAAAAGAAATTGACTCAGAATATAGCCTAATCTTGTAGAGTGCATCTGGCCTCATTAACATCAAACAGGGCTAATCACATCAGATCACACCATGGAGGTGATTACATCCTAATCAGTCTCATCACAGAGGTGATGACTACATCTTAACTGCTAAACCACTGAGAATCCTGGACTAACCAAGTTGACACAAACCTGAACTATCACATTCCCTCCATAATATGTCCAAACTACATAAGAGTAAGTCTCCTTTCCTCCTTTCTAAGGAGCATCTAGCTGTAATTAGAAGACAGAATTGTTCATTCTTCTAGCAGTCCATGGCATATTCAATACTGCTTGCCAAGACCATAATTCAAAAGCATCAGTTCTTCAGCTGGCTTTTTACATGCATATGAAGCAACTGAAAAGGCCATGGCTTGAATCAGGTGTACTTTAGTCCACAAAGTGATGTTTTTATTTTCTAGTATTTAGAAGTCTCTTGCAGCAGAGTTTCCCAGTGCAATACATCATTTGATTTCTTGACTACTGCTTCTATGGACATTAATTGTGGCTCTAAATAAAGTGAAATCCTTGACAACTTCAGTATTTTCTCCTTTTATCATGTTAGTGCTTACTGGTCCAGTTTTGGGGATTCTTTTTTTGGTGTTGTTGAGGTATAATTCATACTTTTCATAGTATGATGAACTTGGCTATTCCTTAAGACAAATTTTGTGGGATGGTTGAGTCACAGGAAGCGTAAGTTTATCGGTCCTTGAAACAAGCTAAGTTTTAAAGCTTGCATCTCTGGAGGCCAGATTCCCAACACTGATTTAATTGGTCTACAATCAAGGTATAGGATAAGCACTAGACCGCAAGACTGATGGTTCAAACCCACTAGTTGCTCCTTGGAAACCCTATACAGGGTCACTATGAGTTGACAACACTAATAACGCCACCAAGTGTCGGCAAGCCTGGTTTCTCCTGGAGGTTCTGGCCTTTCTCATAGTTGTGTCCCTCACAATGACTGAGTGGGACTGTGCAGATGAGGTACTTGTGTTTTACCAAGGGGATTGATAAGACTGCTAACAGTAAGTTCATGACATCCTTGTGGGATGGCACAACATGCGAATTATGTATATGTAACATTAACATAGGATTTAGTCCATCTTGCCATCCTGCTAGGCTTCAAATGAGCTCATTCTAGAAGTGAAGGATGGGAACCTTACTACCATCAAGAACAATCAGGAGTCAAGTCTGTCCTTTAGACTGGCGTTTCCTGTGCTGAGAACTCCTCGACCCAGGAGACTGAGCTGTAACACCAGAAAAGGTATAAAACAGGGAGACGTGGAAACAAAAATGGCAGTAGCAGAACCGGGAGACTGACAGATGGCACAGTGGGTTTGCTGGCCCATGGAGTGAGGCAGGTACAGTAGGCATTCTGAGTGCCTTCTTGACCAAATCTTACTAGCAGATTCAGGTGCCTCCATGCACTTATCTGGAGTCCTGGTGTGGCGCTGTGGGCTAATACTCTGGACTGCAAAGTTGGTTTGAACCACAAGGTCGGCAGTTCTAGCTCACCAGCTGCTCCTTGGAAATACTATACAGGGTCACTGTGGGTCAGAACTGACGGCACTTAACAACAACTTAATCTGGAGTCCTGGTATGGTGCTGTGAGTTACTGCACTAGACTACAAGGTTGGTTTGAACTGCAAGGTTGATGGTTCAAACTCACCAACTACTCCTTGGAAACCCTATATATAGACAGGGTTGCTCTGAGTCAGAACTTGACTCAGCAGAGCAACAACATAGTTATTCACAGAGTTAAGTGCTTTGTAACACTTGCCTGAACCGGGTAGGGGCCAAGGGGCTGAGAGAGACGTTTGCCTTTGCCACTACACTTCCCCTGGGTTGTTGTTCCCGCCACATGCTCTGCTGTCGTGTCTTTGTAGGTGCTATTACCTGTCATATCCTTGTTACCTCCTGCTCATGGACGGCTGCCTCAGATCGCTCATCACAGCACTTCCGACTACCTCCTCAAGGCCACAATCCTCATCCCCTGGCCTATGCTGGGACCCCTCAGCAACACCATCTCTGCAATTGGAATTGGCCGTGAGCCTGGCCAGATCCACCCCACAGCCTTGGCCTTTCCCAGACAGCTCCGATCCCTGCATGTGTACTGTTGGTCCTGAGCCTATGCAGACAACTGTGACCCATCTGAGTTTATTCGCCCTTTCCCCAGGTCCACTGTCCTCATGTCTCACAGTGTGGCTGTGGAGGTGGTTAATCTGGAATTCATGCTGATCCCATGTAGGCACAGGGTGGAAGTGACACTGTGGGCTGGGGTGATGGGTGCCCCTTTGGAATGCCCCGTTGCTCACTAGTGGTCACAGTCTCCAGGTTCCGTTGCACACAGCTTTGTATGTGTCTGGCGTCAGAGGGCGAAAGGATTTGGCCTGGTGGTCCAGTATGAATAGGGGGTCACTGATGGCGTCCACTTTGAAGCCCTCTCGCACCAGTTGAAACTTCACCAGCTTGAAGGTGCCTGTGATCTCTAGGGCATCCTGCAGAGACGATGACCATAAGCCCTTGAATAGGGCCACCATGGCTGTGATACCTCCACCCACCAGCTCTGGCTGTCCTGGATTCACCTGGATACGGATGAAGTAGGGGGCAGAGTAGGCAGGGAGCCAAGCTCGGACATACTCATACAGTTGTTGACCGTCGAAAGTTCGGCTGGGAGCCAGCTGCACGGCAGCCATGCCCACCTTGCCCTCACACCCTAGAAGTGCACCATTCTCTGTTGTCCCCGTCGCTCTCGTCCAGACTTAGCTACACGCCCTCCATAGGGGCCCATGGCTGAGCTTCCTTCCTGCTTCACTGGGCAAGTCTCTACACCTCTTGGGTGCCCGCAATGTCTCCCACCCATAAACGGTCTACCAAGCCTCCATCCACAAAGCTGTTGACGGGTTAAAATGAAGGGACTCATCCGTACCTGGTACAGACACTCCGTACACGTTCACATCCTGCAGGAAGTCCACGAGTAACAACACATTCTCCACTTCCCGCGTGGACACGTTTTCCCCCTTCCAACTAGGAGGGCAAAACCAGAGTTTGGGAAAGAGGAAGACCCTCCGCCTAAGGGAACATCTTTTCCCAGTCCGTCTTCTTCAAGATCAAGGAGCCCCCAAAAGGTCTACAGTTGTTGAGTGCTGTAGAGTCGTTTCCGACTCATATCGACCTTGGATAGTGTTTCCCAGGAGCAGTTACTTGGTCTGAACCGCTAACAGCAGTCCATAGCCTTTCCAACAGCTCCACACTAGGACTCAACTAAGAAATGGAAACTCCCGGGTCCCCAGATTTCCAACTACCGGAAGCCCCGCCTCCCAAGCCCAGACCCCTCCAGAAACAGAAAGCCACGCCCTTCCGGCTACGATCGGTCCAGGGTCCGTCCGGCTCCTACCCAAGAAACCCCTCTTCCCAATCGGAACCACAACGCCCCGCCTCGAACCGGAAAGTGTCTTCCGAGGCGGTCACGGAAGTAGAGGAAGCCCTCGTGGTCCATTTCCAGCACGTCTCCAGTGTGGTAGCAAACATCGCCCCTGTGCTTTACGTTCCGTATCAACTTCCGTTCCGACTGATCTCGGGGGCCCGCAGTAACTCAGAAAGGGAGAGAGTTTTGTCACTCGGGTCACCAGGAGCCCCGCCTCCCTGAGGCCTTCGGAATAACAAAACAAAAGAAAATCAGAATTAAGTAATGACTATGAGCAAGAGTCTCTGGCCAGAGGTTTACTTTGTCACTAATACCATGCCAGGACAGGGACAAAGGAAAAAGAGAGACAAAGGCCCAGAGACAGGCAGAAACCCAGAGTCAAGGAGAGACAGAGGCCCAGAGATGGAGCGAGAGACTCAGAGAAAGAGAGATGAAGAGAAGGTCAAAAATCCAGATAGAGAAACAGATCGGTAGAAACACAAAAATGGGAAGATGAACACGGTTAGAGGCACAGAAAACAAAAACCAAGATTGATGTCAGCAAAAGGGGAGCCCATGAGAAACAGGAAAAGGGTAATAAAAGGTGAGGGCCAGAGACATGGAGATGAGCAGAGAGGGTCTTGCAAGTCCTTAGAGAAGACACAAGGACAAAAGGGGATGACTGGGAGTATATCAATGCAACAGAAAGCTCCAAAAAACGGAAAGATTTGTCAGAGGGTACCAGGTGCCGTCAAAAAGGTTTTGTAACAATGGATAAAAAGATCATGGTAGTTTTCCAGCCACCTTTTGAAGCCCTTGTATTTCTACTATGAATATATAGTAAAGCACACCGAAAGCAAAGTTAATAAGACTTCTTAGCCATAGCCAAACACCTTGAAGAGTCATTGGCACAACATAATTCAAAAAGAAAATGTTCTACCTCCCACTTGGATGAGTAGTGATTGACTGGGGTTTTAGAAACTTGTGAGTGGCCATCTAAGGTGTAAATGTTGGTTCTTTCCATCCAGAGCAAAGAAAAATGAAGAAAATCAAAGACGCATGGAAACAATTAGTCCAAAAGTCTAATGGACCACCTAACCCTCAACCTCCAGGACCCTGAGACCAGAATAACTACCACTGCCAGCTGTTCTGCAAGGGATCTGGAGAGTGTGGGAGAGAAATGTGGAACAAAATTCAAAATCATAAAACAACAAAACCGGTTCAGTGGCTGGATGGAGGCTGGTGGAACCCCTGAGACTAAGGCCCTCAGTCCCTGTTCAACTGAACTCACTCCCGGGGCTCAATGTTCAGTCAATCCAAAGGTCTATTAGGTGAACACCACCACTAGGGAGGTTTGTACTCCTTAGAATAGTCAACCATAGGAGATCAAAAGGGCATCATTTGCCTAAAGACAAAGTTCAGATGGCAGGAAGGAATAGGAAAGAAGAATGAATGGAAGTGGGCAAAACAGGAAATGGGATGAGTGATTTTTATTTTGTGGATTGCAATAAATGGCAAGAGACAAACTGTGTATGAATTAAAGAAAAACTGATTTTTCTCTGTAAACCTTTGCAAAATCACAATAAAAAGTCCTTAATAAAGAAAATAAGTTAAAGACAGATGCCCAGAGACCCAGAAGACCAGAAAGAGATAGAGAAGGTGGGATCTTCAGGATAGCCAAGAGGCAGAACAGTGGCCAGATAGGCCAGGGACTCAGTTCATCTGAGAGCTATAGATCCCTCACTGGGATATCTGGTAGGTGTTGTGTCTTTGGGCATCTTGTCCCAGACAAGAAGGACCCTACTGTATGGAACTCTAGAAGAGTCTTGGTCAGTTTTGTCAGCCCAGTAAGCTTAAAAGGAGCCATCTGAGAAGTGGGAAGGGAAAGACCTGTCTCTCTACGAGTCAGAAAGAACTCAGGACAGGAGTGTCCCCTTTGGACCTCAAGGTCCCTGTGCACTGAAGCTCTCTGACCCAGGAGATGGACAGCTGTGAGAACAAGCCAACAGAGACTCAGCAGAGACATTCGGCCACAGAACCAACAACACAGAGCAAGCAAGCTGAGTGCCTTCAGACAGGAGGCTTGTTGACAGAGTGGGTTACCTCCAGGCACTTAATCAGAGACTGGGAGGTTGGGAGCTCGATTTGCTGACCCACAGAGCTAGAGCTGAGCACCTTTGGGCAGAGGACTGGAAGAACGGGCACTTAATCAGCAGAGCTACACTTGCCCACACAGGGCAGAAGCTGAAAGACCAAGTGGCTGACAGGTCAAAGACCAGAATGAGGTGTGACTGCAACATGGCTTACAAGAGGCTATTCTGACTGAAGAACTCTATGTGGAGCAGTTATGAGCCTGAATTGTAACCTGTTAATTTCCTTAATAAACCTCATAATTATGAGTAATGTCGGTGTGGCCATTACACTGAACTCTTTTTTTTTTTTTTTAATTTCAGGTTTTTATTATGAATTGAGTGAAAGTTTACAGGGCACATCATCAGTTTCACATTCAACAATTCATATAACTTGTTTCATTACATTGATTGTAATCCCCTCCATATACCATCAGTTAAAAGTATTTCTCTCTATCCACTTTAGCTTTTTAAAAAACACAAACAAAAACCCCACTCAGGCATATACAATAATTTACA